TGTGAAAATATGCTTTCTTCAAAATCTTCTTATTCTTGCTCTGTTTATCATTCTTCACAGTGTACAGAATTATTTAAGGATTAATGTTTGCCATCTAGGTAAAAAGGTGTTCAGTGCTCAGGATTTCAGCAGGCCGACCAAAGCCAAGAGGGGGAAAAAGGTGAATTTGAAATCAGAGTTTACTTCAGGGATAGTCCCTACATTGTTGTTTCCTGCCAAATTGCGTTATGTATGGGAAGAAATGTTTATTATGATGGCACTACCTCAGTCTTTTGTAATTTTTCCTCTCTTTTAAAGGGGAAGCAAGGACTTCAATGACTGATCTTATTTCCTTGAGAATATATTTTATTGGTATTCACCCCCATCCCCAAGCTGCAAACTGTCAGGCAAGCCTCTTTATTTTTCCATATTGTAAAGCACCAAGCACAAGGATGAGAAGTCATACAGATGATCCCTTGAAATGCAATCCTGATTTTTCAATGTTGCAGTACAAAACTAATAGACTTCAGCCTCAGTCAGACCCACCAGGAATAGCTAGCGGAATACACTTTGAAGAGCTGAAGCACTTCTCTAAAACTTCAACACATCCCTTCAAGTTTGAATCAGACAGCAGCCCTTTGAAGTTAAGTGCTTCAAGGGAATGTCCCACACCCCAGCAATTGCTTGACCCTGCACTCAGAACTAGTTTGCAGTACCACGCAGTAAGATTTTTATGGTATTTTGGTGTTAGAGGAGAAGAAAAAGCAGAGAGAAAAAAGTTCAGCAGTTTGGCAGAATCTGATGACTCCCAAAATCTTTCTGTACGAGGATAGCCAGAGAAAAGGCCGCCAGCAAACATGGACCAGGAGGGTTCCCCATGAGACATATGAGGTTAATACTAGATGCACCAGATGGCCTCAACTCCAACATTTTCCCGAAAGCACAACTCAAAATAGCTATGTCAACAGAAACAGTGATACATATTTTTAAAGAAAAACTACCCTCACGCAGGCTCCCAGTTTGGAGTGTATGCATCAGACTTTTAACATGTAATTAATTGTCTTAAAACAACCAGCACTTTTATTTATCAAAAGAAAAACTCAACCACTGACACCGCCTCATTTTCTCTGAGGGAAAAGAAATGACTGATTAAACATTTCAGCAGTAAATGTATATATTCAGATAATAACGGACTTAATTAAGCTTCTATTTCTGCTTTGTATATCACCAAACCACCAAAAATGTATTCTCTAAATCAGAGTTTGAGAGAGATACAGCCAACATGAAATCTAGTCAATTTTTAACAAATGATTGAAAGTCTATTTATAAACACAATAGTCCCATTGTACTAGGTGCTGGTTCTCTCCACCATTGGTCTGTGAAAAGACTCAAACACAGAGAAACTGTGACGCTGACTATGCACAAAATGTTGCCAAATGCACAAGGTAAACCAACTGAAAAGATTCACCTCTTCCAGTTACAGCCATCCTAGGTGTTACTTATACGAAAAAATAGGCAAAACAATTCAGATATAAAGTGCTATTTTTAAATTGACATCCATTTAACTGCAGAACATAAGCTGTATTCCATTCTACCTTCAGCTGCAGCAGAGCTGCCAACTATGCTGGTTCCGTGTAAAGTTATTTGTCAAACTAAGCAGATGTTCCTGGGAAAAATATCCAAAAAGCAGATGTGTACAGTAAAAAGGTGCCATTTTCTCTCTCTCTTTTCTTTCTTTCTTTTTTTTTTTTTAAATCGTGGCCACAATGGAGCTTTTTAATACATAAACTGGATCAACTTTGCTTCCTGCATTTTAATACTAGAAGGGATAACAGAAAATTAGGCCACTGAATCAGTGGTGAAGTAATATTTTACATTTATATAGTGCTTTTCGTTCTGAAGGAACACAAAGTGCTTCACTAACTGGATACCTACACATTGTTAAAGTTGCCTAATATTCAACAACTGAAGACCATTTAGAGATACGGCCTCAAACTCCTTAACTTTCTGTTGTGCCTGGCTGTTGTAGGATTTCCAAACAGTAGGTCACGTTACACAGCTCATGGGTCTGAAAAACAATGTTAGAGATGGAATTTCAGCGTAAAAATCTGCAAATCCTGGCTTTTGTAGTTTAGTTGAGACACAAACAAAACAATAAAGCCTATTTTAAAAGTAATGCTGAAGAACTAACGTTCATCCAGGGGCAGATTCTCATCTCCATTTCTATAGCTGTTCCTCTAGAATTATGGGGAGAGTCACTGAGAAGGTAGTTAATAAGCACACACACATAATTATAAAATATTTCAGAGATTAATTTGATTTTTATTTCTACTTGTACAAGATAATCTCATGTAGCTACAAAGCTCATGGAACAAGGGTCCTTTGGCAGCTTAAGTCAGTACAAGAGATCACTCTTCTATACACAAAAAGGGCTACAGTGTTTCAAAGATCCATGAAGGGAAGAATATAAACTAATAAATTTCTACAAAGACACTGAACTAGCTATAAAACCACATCTTAAGGATTTTTTTTCCCCTAACGTATTTACTTACTCACTTTTGGCTTAGCTATATTATATATCTTGTAATAGTGCCTAGAGTTAAGTATTGTTGTTGTTGCGATGACATCATAATTTTGTTAAGTCAGATCTAAGCAACAGCTGGCTTCCCCACTGCCACATTTTGCCAACTAACCGCTCTTAACTCAAATCTTGACTTTTTAATGTGTGCTCATTAGGAACTATGGCTGATCTCCTGCTTCCAAAAAGCCATCATCGTCGCCAAAAGACAGATAACATGAGCAAAATCAGTACATATTCTTTCCTTAATTCCAAGTGAAATAAGTGTGTCTCAATATGGCTTTTAAACGTGCATATAAAATTCCCTGTTCTATGTATGTACTGACATTACCGGTTTAGATAGTTTAGCCCTGACTGGTTCATCTTGTCTTACCATAAAAAAGGGAAAAAAATAAAAACTAATGAAATTGCCTAGGGAATACAAATATGCTTCTAATACAGTAGTTTAACAGGATATCATTTAAAAACCATGTCTAACAAAAAGACTGAAATATCTGTCCTGAAATTTCAAAACCCCTGACCATCACGGTCATAAATATAAAGGGAAGGGTAACCACCTTTCTGTATACAGTGCTATAAGATCCCTCCTGGCCAGAGGCAACATCCTGTTACCTGTAAAGGGTTAAGAAGCTCAGCTAACCTGGCTGGCACCTGACCCAAAGGACCAATAAGCGGACAAGATACCTTCAAATCGGGGCGGGGAGTGAGTTTGTGCTCTTTGTTTACATGGTTGATTTCTCTTGGTACCGAGAGAAGCCAGACAGAAATCCATCTTCTCCAACCCATCCTAATCCAAGTCTCCAATATTGCAACCAGTATAGGTAAGCCAGGCAAGGCGGATTAGTTTATCTTTTGTTTTATGTGAATTTTCCCTGTGTTAAGAGGGAGGTTTATTCCTGTTTTCTGTAACTTTAAGGTTTTGCCCAGAGGGGGATCCTCTGTGTTTTGAATCTGAATACCCTGTAAAGTATTTTCCATCCTGATTTTACAGAGATGATTTTTACCCCCCCTTTTTAAAATAAATAAATAAATAAATAAAATCCTTCTTTTAAGAACCTGATTGTTTTTTCCATTGTTCCAAGATCCAGGGGTTTGGGTCTTTGATGATTTTGTAACAAATTGGTTAGGATGTTATTCTCATGCCTCCCCAGGAAAGGGGGTGTGTAGGGCTTGGGGGGGGGGAGGGGAACGGGGGATATTTTGGGGGAAGATGTCTCCAAGTGGTCTCTTTCCCTGTTCTTTGTTTAAAACGCTTGTGGTGGCAACATACAAAGACAAGGACAAAGTTTGTACCTTGGGGAAGTTTTTAACCTAAGCTGGTAAGAATAAGCTTAGGGGGTCTTTCACGTGGGTCCCCACATCTGTACCCTAGAGTTCAGAGTGGGGAAGGAACCCTGACAATCACTCTGAAAATATGCAACTAATTTTTAAGTAAGAGATTGTGAGCAACATTCGTGCTATAGAAACAACAGGACTAAATGGACAGATATAGCATGGGCAGCCAACCAGGCAAGAACTCTACGTAAAGGCACCTTAAATCCTTTCTGACCTGCAACAACTACTATTCCATTCTAAGATCTCTCAAGTAGAGATTGCTAGTCATGTTCTCGTATATGGAGGTTTTGAAATGAATGCTAATGGTGAGTAAGAAACCACTGAACGCTTTCACTCGTGACCTAAATTGGGATTTGAACTCAGGTATCCAGAGATAAAAGGATGGTATTTCAATCCAATGCGTCACTCAGCCTCCTTTTGTAAGTGCATCTCAAATGTGACGATCACAAAAGAGAATAAAATCCTTCTGATAGCTGAAGAACACTGTACTGATTGTGATATCCTCTGAATTAACAGAAAAGTTTTCCCACATATATTCTGAGTTTTGTTCAAATTGACTTATAAAAAAAAAGTTTCGTGTGATGACTGGGTTGGGTGCTGCCTTCATTGAAAACATAGTCCTGAAACCAGATTTAAAGATTGCAGGATTGGGCTCTTCCAACCTTGCATCCATGTGGCTCTGACTGCAAGATTGGGGGTTAGAAACACAAGATTACATAGAATGGAATTTCCTGGAGAGAGGCAGCACACCACTGTGCTGCACACTTGCTGGATGCTCCTTGTGGCAAGGCAGTGAATCAGGTCGAGCTCATGATATAGATGAAGGCAGAATTTTTAACAGCTTGGAGCTATCCAGTCAGACCACATTCTTAACTGTTACGTCAGAGAAACACTCAATATTTAAGAAGTCAGATAGGGAGTTCATATTGGCTTTCAACTAGCCAATCAAAGGAAGGAAGATAATTAAATTTCATGCATAAAAAGGCAACTTCAGTACTCTCTTCCAGCATGTAGAATTTCACTTACCTTTAAGAATATGAAAATTTACATAATCTGCACAAATTACACATCTCCATATTACATACAGGTTGTTTCCCAAGGAACAGTATTTAGACAATTAAAGTATTTATTGCAAACCAGTCTCTTGCAACATTACATGAAGGCCATTAAAAGTAAATGCATATCCACTGAATTAAACAGAAACAGGTTTAGTTAAAACAAAAAAGGATGCTGAAAAGGATAAAACACTCCAGATACAAGGCGACAATTAAAAAGTTGTCAATGACCTTGGAAAAGCACTTGGAAATTCATGGCAGGAGACAATTTTCAGCCATCATTCTGGGGGAATGGGGGAAGTACACCACAGAGGGGAAGTCACCTTGACCCTTTGAGTCTTTCAGCAATGGAGCACATAAAACTGTACTATTTGATGTATTTTTCCATGAACTTTTTGTGAAATTCAGATCGCAGAGTATCATTTACAAATCTTTTGTCCTTTTTCATTTCATCTATTCCCTTGGCACAGTTCTTGAAGACAACATCGTCATCCCATCTGAAAGAAAAACAAACTATTTAGCTGTACAGTTAATATTTACTACATGAAATTATGGCAGAGCAACTTAAATAAACTATGTTTAAAACAGTTTTGTAGATTTCAGAAGACCACTGTCTTTTTAGAAAAAACTGTTAACACACATCTGAACTTATTTTAAAAAACCAAAATACAATTATTGTGTGTGTTTTTCATACAAACTATATCCTAAAGTTGTTCGCAGTGTTGTTGTAGCCATACTGGCCCAGGATATTAGAGAGACAAGATGGATGAGGTAATATCTTTTATTGAACCAACTTTTGTTCATGAAATAAACGAGCTTTTGAGCTCCTGAAGGGCTCTGTGTAGCTCAAAAGCCTGTCTTTCACCAACAGCAGTTGGTCCAATAAAATATATTACTTCACCCAGTGGTACCATTTGGAGGGGAGGAGGGGCTCCTGCTCCTCCCCTCCCAGTTTCGTACAGGAGGTGTGTTCTCAGGTGGAGCTCTTAACTACAGCACAGCAGGAGTGTGGAATGTGAGTTCTGAAGAGGAAAGGTGCTGCTCAAAGCCTGTGCCCCTGGGTTTTGTTTACAGAGGCAGGGTGATTAAGATAAGAAAGGGCTGGTAATTATATTAAGGGTCTGGAAGTCATTAATGAGTCTGTAAAACAGGAATCCCTCTGCAGGGAGTGGAGAGTATTGAAGAGAGAAGGCAGGGGACTGGAAATACTACAAAGCCTTCTGAGCCAAGATAACATTCAGAAAAGAGAGAGATGTGAGGGGCGTAGGTGAAAAGAAGGGGCCAAAACCAAGGGAAGGGATAGCAGTGATATAGAGAAGTTCCCACTCTACTTGTGGTACTTATGTGGCCCCATCACCATAGTATTTGAGCACCTCACAACGTCTAACCTATTTCTCCTCACAGCCCCTTGGAGAGGTAGAGCAGTGCTGTTCTCCCCATTGTACAGATGGGGCACAGAGGCACACATGGACTAAAGGCCAGATTTTCAAAGGTGTTTAGGCACCTAGTGGGATTTTCAAAAGCGTCTAGAATATTAGGTGCTTTGTAAACCCCACTAGATGTCTAGCTCCATCTTTGGGTGCCTAACAACCTTTGGAACTCTGTGCCTAAGGCACAGGCCTAGGTCATACAGAAAGCCCACGGGGGAACTAGAACCCAGGTCTCTCAGGGCTAGCTCCTTATCCACTGGACCACCCTCTCTCTCTGCTGCACGCTGTAAAAAAAATAAAAAAACAAAAAAAAAATAGAGGACTCTGACAGATGGGAGCAAAACCAAGAGGGACAGTCCTGAGACTCCAGAAAACGGTCCCAGGCAGTTGGGAAGGATGTCATGGTTGACAGCATGAAAAGCAGCACAGAGGTTAGGAATGATGTTTAAAGTCAGTTTCTAGTCTAGTCAGTTTCCACACTACAAGTGGAGGCGCTGATGGCAATAGAAGTTTTACTTGATTAAGGATTAGAAGATTTGACCCTTCAACTTCCTTTTAAGAGGAGGAGTGCTAAGAGCTCCTGTCTGTTTATTTTCCTTTCCTGCTTGCAGTGGCCTTGATATATCTCAGAAGTATCCATTTTTTTCTCAACTTTAAAATGTGGAATTTTTTCTTGGTGTTTGATTTTAAATATTCTCCTGTGAGAACTGCAACTCAATCACTGTAGTGTTGTGTTTAAGAGCCTTCTGGAAAGTAACTAGCCTTCAAACAGAAGTGAAAGCAGTATTGCCAAGCCTCATGATTCTGTCATGATAATTATTGTTTTCCTTAAAGCCAGAGGCCCTGAAGTCAAGTGGATGTGTGATAATTTCAGCCTTCATTCTTAAAGAAAAATGAAGTTTCTAGCCCTCATGGCTGTGGAGAAACCTTCAAAAATGTGACCCCAGTGCACCTTAAAAGCTCAAAAAGCAGAAAGCAATTAAAAAGAACACCAAATCTATTATTTTTACATAGCCTTGGTGAGCCTGATTCATGATTTCTGAACATTTGGGATTGGCAATACCATGAAAGTGACTTGAAAGTGTCAGTTTCACTCCTGTTTAAAGTCAGTTTCTAGTCTATTATTTGTAGTGTCCTAACACCCCTAAAGCCCCTGGCAAGTGCAGTATAAACTCACAGGGCCATGCCCTAGTAGGATGTTTCCAAAAGTTTAATGATCTATTCCAAGCTTGGCGAACTGCAAAAAAGTGATAGAAAGTAATATAGATTTTTCTACAAATTGTTTTAATTGTTGTATTCAAGCATAACAAAGCAAGAATATACACTAAAATTCAGTGTCCTTTAAGACAAGTGCCTTGACACAAGATGTCAGAACATATTAGTATTAGAGCTAAGTGAGTCTAATATTTATTTAATTTTCTTTCTTTATATAGGAATTAGATACAGTGTTCCTGCCAGCTAATTGCTAAATGATCTGCAAAAAAAACCAAACAAACAAAACCACCTGGAGTCTTCAGGTGCCTACATAGCCCCTTGAATCATGGTTAAAGTTGCTCCCCACTAACATCTGAAATGGCGCCCTGACCTAACTCACATTCTCTCTCTTATACCCTAAAGTCTTTACTGTGTAAAAAAAAAAGTAAAAAATGAAAGGATTAGTATTATTAAATCCTGTTTATTAGGGAATGCCTAAGGACTAACCAAAAATGGGGCTCTATTGTTCTAGGAATTATACAAACACAGAGGAGCAGGCAGTTCCTGACTTAAAGAGCTTACAAACGAAATAGACAAGACAGTCACAGGATGGACGCAGGATGAGACTAATACACAAGTAGAGTGAACAATGTGATGGCAAACAGCATGTTAGCTCTACAATTTTTTACAAAAAGATGTGTTTAATCAGGAGGGGATCAGCTAAATGGAAAGAAAAGTGAAGGGACAGGGGACAAGACAGGGAAGAGGAGGGTAAGATGTGGAGTGAAGCTGAAGTGAAGAGACCGAGGGAGGGCGAGAGCTGGAGCAAACAGCCAATCAGCACAGGAAACAGAAAGCCCAGTCAAAACTGTAGAAAGTTCTCTGAATGTCCAGAGGTCCCTACTTTTGAGTGAAGCTCGTAAACTCCTCATCTGTTCCCTATTTTAGTTAAATGGAATACTACCTGGACTATTTCCTAACAGAAACCGTACTATAATCAATAGAAAACGAACCATAAAAAAAAAAGTGCTAGCACAAAAAATTTCACTAGTCACTCACACTAACAATCCAAAGTAGACAGATGTGTTTAGAAAGGTGTAAGAATGAGTCTGCCTATGAACTCTCACCACATTGCCTCTTGCAAACATATTGTGCTGTGGATGGCAACGCAAGGCGATTAAATTTTCAATGCAATTCTCTTTGAACCTAAAAGAGCCAGGGTGGTCTATTTGGGAAAAAAAAACAAACCACCGTCCTTACAATACCTTAATTTCATGTCACATTGTTGATGCAAGGCTTGAGTGGAGAAATAAAATCAATGGCAGTGATACCAGTTTAGCTGCTTTACAGACTGCTGGAGCTCCAGGAAGGGACAAATGTATATTGAGCACAGTACCTTCTCTTCACTTTGAAGTTTGCCTGAGGCTGCACTGGGCCTGTAAGATTTAGTAAAGGGTTGCCACTCAGGATGTTTTCCATTCGAATCCTCTCTTCTTCAGCCTTTTGCTCTTGCTCCTGACAATGAGAAATAGATGCATGTATTTATTAGTTTTTGGCCATCTTTTCAAGCTAATTTACAGAGGAAGATGATGATCATTTAGCTGATAACTCCCACACAGACAACTTCAACTCCTAGTTTAGTCATCACTCCCAGCTGATTTAAAACAGTTGTGTGTGTGAAAAAACAGAGGAAAGGGTGAGGCAGAAACTCTGAAAATCTTAACATTGTTAATCTACTGTCATCTAGCAAAGCTGAACCCTGCATTACTAGCCTTTGATGTTCTAAAGTTTGCAATTAACACCCCATAAATACTAGCATGTTATAGGCTATGTATTTTGTGTATTAATAAACAACCTACCAGATTTTCTTCATTTTAAATTCTATTTAACCTCACATGAGAAAAAGAGAAAACGTTCAGCAATATTCATTAGGTAAGTGGAAGGTGTTATACACTGTTGAAAACAAGCTATTGTCTTCTACCTTGAGTGATCTCTCAGCCTTTTACCATCACAGAGTCTTACTATTTCCTTCTGCAATACTGTACAACACTGAATAATCTCATGATACCCAAATTTTAAGAATTTTGCTGTCCGGGTCTCCCCTCACCCTGCTCCCCAATAGCACACTGTAAACTTCTGATTAAAACAACAAAAAAACGTATCTGGCATAAAACTGGTTTCACTAACCACTTTTATAAGCCATCTCAACATCCAGTCACTTAATCTATCCTAGACTTCAAGTTATGTGTGACATTCTGTCTGTATCAACAATTTTTTCCAGAAGCTTTCAAACATGTTACCAGGTTCACTCTTCGATGTAAACATTAGGGGAAAAAGACTGCTCTCTTACTTGGATGACTGAATACAGGCATATCCTTCTACATGCTAAAGTATGGTCTGGAATCATTCCAGTTTAAAAAAATATTGCATTCAATGCTATAGAACTGCTACATGGACTAAAACCAGGGCTACTATGATATATGGATCATAACTGGTGTTTCTTTTAAAACTGCAAAAAATTCATGGATCAGGGCACTTTGGGGACCCAGAACAGGAAATGCTTTTCTTGATAATAGAATTTAAGATTTTCAGCACTATAAACTACACTGATGCTAACCAGAGTTCGCAAGCTTTAAGCACTCAATCACTGTGAAAGAGTACATTAATAAGTCCTACCTATTTTATTTTTTCATGTTTGTGGACTGAACAGATAAGTGGAATATTTCTATAAAAGAGGCCCAAGAGGCCTTAATAAATACAATAGTAAATCATTCTTATAAACATTAGGCAGTTCTAATGTAGAATTTGCAAGATTTCTATAAATTTTACTATGCACTTAAGGTACACCAGCCTGTTTCATGCAGAGAACAGAGTGTGTGGGGGTGGGGGTTGGGAAGTGCTTTTGAGACACTGAAGTTATCAGCATATAGAATTCATAGACCAGCTCACTTGTCAAAACTTTACCTCTTTAGGTCTGCATAGTTCAGAATACACGAAAGAATGATTTTTCTTAGATTTTCTTTCACAGAGAAATTTTAAGCTAGCCGTAGGCCTGGTCTACACGAGGAAATTAGACTGGTATAACTACGTCTCTGAGGATGTGAAAAGCCCACACCCCTTAGTGATACAGTTAAACCAACCTGACCCTCAGCATAGACAGCGCTAGAGAATTCTCCCATTGACCTAACTACTGCCTCTCAGAGAAGTGGATAACCTACGTCAACAGGCGTAGGTAGCATCTTCACTGAAGTGCTACAGCAGCATTGCTAGAGTTCACATGTAGACAAGCTCTCACTTGCAAGTTAGAGCACATTAAAGCAGCCCTGGGTGCCCTAACTCCTGATGTGTCCACGCTGGCAAGGCACATAGAGCGCCCGGACTCTGTGGCTGGAGTGCCCCTGGTAATCCACCTCCATGAGAAGCATAACGCTTGCTGCGCCGCAGCGCCAGTGTGGACGCCCTGCTCTATTAATGCGCTCTGATTGGCCTCCAGAAGTGTCCCACAATGCCCTGTGCTAGCCACTCTGGTCATCACTTTAAACGCTACTGCCCTGCCCTCAGGCGACCAACCATCAGACCTGCCCTTTAAATTCTCTAGGAATTTTGAAATTCCCCTTCCTGTTTGCTCATCAATGTGTGGAGTGCTCTCAGCGCATCTTTCCAGGTGACCATGCCTCCACGTGCCAGGCGATCCCCAGTATGCAGCAATGGCGAGGTGCTGGACTTCATCAGTGCTTGGGGGGAGGAAGCTGTCCAGTCCCAGCTGCACTCCAGCCGTAGGAATTACGATACCTTCGGGCAGACATCAAGGGACATGATGGAAAGGGGCCACGACCGGAGGAGGAGGAAAGCGGTAGCGAGGGTGCGGAGAAGGAGGGGGACAGCCCGGCATCCCTAGATGCATGCAGCCTGGAGCTGTTCTCAAGCCAGAAGGAAGGTAGCCAGTCATAGGGGACAGTGCTTGGAGAAGAACAAACAGTAGAAGAGGTGCCCGGTAAGCGGCTTTTATTTTGGGAAGGATGTTGTTCGGTGTGGGCTCTTGGGGAGAAGAGGGTTAGGGCTGCACGCATGCCTAGATGTGGAATAGGGCGTTGATGTGCTCTCTCACAACAGGGTAATCGGCCTCAGTGATCTCTTCAAAGGTCTCATGCAGAAGCTGGGCAATCCACTTGCGCAGGTTCCTTGGCAGAGCTACTGTGCTCCTTGTCCCAGTCAGGCTAATGTGTCTGCACCACTATGCCGTGACGGCCGGAGGGACCATTGCTGCACACAGGCAAGCTGCATATGGGCCACAGCGGAAGCCGCATTGTAGCAGAAGACCCTCCCTTGCTTCCCAGGTCACCCTCAGCAGGGAGATATCTTCCAGGACGAACTCATCCTGTAGAAAATGTGGGGACAGTGTTCAGCATAGGGACCCCTGCAGTTGTTGTTTCTCCCCGAGGCACAGAACCCCAGGGGACAGTGCGGTCATGAAAAAAAATCAGTCCCCTTTGCCCCTGTGCTTACTCACCATTTTGGGGCTCCTGTGGGTTATGTGCGCTCGGTTTGGGATGGGCAATTTCTGCTATTGTGTACACTGTACTTGTCTTTAACTATGGACGAATCATTGCTATGTCTGGTGTGAACAATGCTGCCTCTGTTAAGTGTTGCATTTTGGCTTTACAGATGCAACCTTAAGATCCCAGCCGTCCTTGTTATCAACGGCCAAAAGACTCCAAAGAATCAGGAAGTGTCTGCGAAGAAGCAAAGAGGACATGCTACATGAAGTCATGCAGCAGTCCCTTAATGAAAATCAAAAAGTACAGGAGTGGCGGGAGAGCGAAAGGAGGCTCCACCAGCAGAACGCGGATCATCAGCATCAAAGCACAGAGCGGCCGCTAAGCATCATGGAGCACCAAGTGGACTCAATACAGGCTCTCGTAGCAATGCAGGCGGAGCACATCCGAGTCTGACCCCGGTATCCGGTTATAGCACAACCTACATATTTTTGACAGGCCAAGTGTTTTTTTGTTTGCTTGTTTTATTTCTAACTCTCGGGTGTAAAGTTAGTTAAAAACAGAGAGGAACACATGACAGAGCCCAAGGCAGCAACAGCCAAAGAGGCTGCCCACAGGAGAGCTATGGAGGCAGCGAAAGAGGCAGAAAAAAACCAAGAGGCTGCCCACAGGAGAGCTATAGAGGCAAAGGAAAAAGAAATGGAGGAACAGGGGAAAAAAGAGGAAGCATGAACTGGAGTTGGAGAAGGTAAGGACTGAGCGGAATCTACTGGATAACCCTAACCATCCTTCCTCAACAATCCACAAATGGGAGCGACTATGTCCACAGTATGATTAATCCAGTGATATTGCTGAATATTTTCTCACCTTTGAGAGATTGTGCACTCTCCATAAAATTCCTGAAGCTCACAAGATGACCACACTGGTCGCAAAATTAACTGGAAGAGCTCTGGACATATTCAATAAGATGCCTATTGATGAGGCTTCTGACTATAATAAGTTCAAGGATTTGGTTTTAAAGCAATTTCAAATTATATCTGAAATGTACAGAGTAAAATTTCAAACCCTTGAGAGAGGCCCTGGACTAAGTAATGTGGCTTATCTAAACCAGATGAAGGATCTGTTAGATAAATGGGTCCAAGGAAGGGGTGTCACTAGCTTTGAAGGAATGTATGATTTGATAGCTCAGGAGCAATTCCTGAATATGTCCAAGGAGGAAATAAAACAGTGTTTATAGGATAAGGAAATGGACTCAGCAGAAAGTCTTGCTTCTTATGCTGATTGATACGAGCAGTCCCAGAACACCAGAGAGGCGGGGCAAGCCGGAACAAAAAACGAGTGGAGGGAGCAGAGAGGAACAACCCTGGTCGCAGTTGGAGCGGATACCAGAAGGGACACCCTCAGACTACACCCTACTACCAGGGGCAGCCCAAGGCCCCAACTACACACCAAGGAATACTCCAGACACCTTATCCTGCCACACCATTCTCCAGCAACCCACCTCGCCCCAGTGACCCGTTAGCTGGATGATGTTTTAAATGTAATGAGCCGGGGCATGTGAAGGCCAACTGCCCAAAGAACCCCAACAGATTACAGTTCATTGCACTGGAATCACACCAGAGGTCCTCAGGCCCAGATACCACCCAGATTCCCTCCGCTCTGAGGGTAACTGTGAGGGGGGGGGGGGGGGGGGGGGGGAGAAGAAGGTGGAGGGACACCAGAGCACAAGTGTCTGCTATCCATGCTTCCTTAGTGGACCCAAATTTAATCGACCCAGAGATCCAAGTGACAATTCAACCCTTCAAGTCCAACTCTTTCAATTTGCCTACAGCCAAGTTGCCTGTCCAGTACAAGGGCTGGTCAGGAACGTGGACTTTTACAGTATATGACGATTATCCCATCATTGATGACTACCCCATGCTGTTGGGTGAAGACTTGGCCAGTCATGTGAAGCTAGCCAAGAGGGTGGGAATGGTCACCCACAGCCGCGCTAAGCAAGCCGTCATGCCTAGCTCTGTTCCGGAAACTTCTACTAGGACCCGGTCAGAGGTGATGGACCCGGACCCCACACCAACATCTGCAACAGCAGTAGTGGATCCAGTCTCAGAGACCCAGACAGAGCCAGAACCGGAACCGGCGGAACAACCAGCACAAGTCCCATTGCCAGCACTGAATCAAGTACTTGCAACCCCAACACCAGAAGGCCCCACTGAACCTGAACTGACAGCAGCCGATAACCCTACACAAGAGGCTCAGCCAGAGCCTGAAACCCAACATAGTGCACCAGCGGAGAGCAGTTCACAGTCTACGGAAACAGCCCGATCCCCTACATTGCTTCCAGAGGGACCAAGCCTAGGTCCACAATCCAATGAGGAACTGATGTCTCCAGCATCAAGGGAACAGTTGAAAAGGAAGCAGATGAAAGCCCCCAGAGAGCTTGGATGGCGGCACAGAACAACCCACCGCCTCTCAGCTCTTCTAATCGATCCAGGTTTGTTGTAGAAATAGAACTTTTATACAAGGAAACTCTTTCTGGTGGACACCAGGAAGACTGGCATCCTCAGACACAGTTGGTAGTTCCAACTAAGTATCGGGTCAAGCTCTTGAGCTTAGCTCATGATCATCCTAGTTGCCATGCTGTGGCGAACAGCAGTCTTTTTCTGAAAAAGACACCCAGAGGAAAGCAGTACATATTGACTTTCATGGATTTTGCCACCCGATGGCCGGAAGCAGGAGCTCTAAGCAGCACCAGGGCTAAAAGTGTGTGCCAGGCACTAGCAGACATTTTTGCCTGGGTAGGTTGGCCCTCCAACATCCTCACAGATGCAGGAACTAATTTCCTGGCAGGAACTATGGAAAGCCTTTGGGAAGCTCATGGGGTGAATCACTTGGTTGCCACCCCTTACCATCATCAAACAAACGGCCTGGTGGAGAAATTTAATGTGACTTTGGGGGCCATGATATGTAAATTCGTAAATGAGCACTCCAATGATTGGGACCTAATGTTGCAGCAGTTGCTCTTTGCCTACAGAGCGTACCACATCCCAGTTTAGGGTCTTCACCATTTGAACTTGTAATGGCCCCTTAACCTCCCGGCCATATACAGTTGGTGAAGCAGCAATGGGAGGGGTTTACACCTTCTCCAGGAACTAACATTCTGGACTTTGTAACCAACCTACAAAACACCCTCTGAACCTCTTTAGCTACTTCAGCGCAGCATGGTCAGTTTGTAGGTGGAAATGCCATCCCCAAACGTATGGGTGTAGCTTTTCCAGAGCATATACAATAGCGTAACATTCCCTTTCGCTGATTGACCGGTGGCTTTCCCTCTCAAACCGTTTTTTGCTGAGAAACACGACAGGATGGAATTCTTGATCCGGTCCTTCCTGCACTAAACTGCTCCCACACCACGCTCGGATGCATCTGTGGTTACTAGGAAAGGTTTGTCAAAGTTTGGGACCCTTAGCACTGGGTCAGACATGAGTGTCGCTTCAAGCTGGTTAAAGGCCTTCTGACACTCTTCAGTCCACTCAACTGCATTTCCTTCCTATTACTTACAATTTGTAATCTTAGATGCTTAGTTCAGGTATGGCTTTAGGAGATGTATTTTCCCTGCCCTGGTTCCTCGCTGACCCAGAGAGAACACACAGAAACACAAACCTTCCTCCACAGATTTGAAAGTATCTTCTCCCCTTATTGGTCCTTTTGGTCAGGTGCCAGCCAGGTTATCTGAGCTTCTTAACCCTTTACAGGTAAAGGAGGGCTTTAATGCTACCCTTAGCTGTAGGTTTATGACACTATTATTCACCACATTTTTAAAAAGGAAAGGAAAACTAGGGCTCAAAAGGAATTTAAGTTAAGTGTTTTAAGGAACAGTTAGAAGGAAGTACAAGACAATATTACCTGCAGTCACTAGATTGTGTATATTTTCCACCTCCGTGCTCTCAATTATTTCACACAAGATCACTTTAAAAATCAAATTTATTATGGAAAAAGTTCTAGATAACAGACATTACAAGCAAAAAACTGTGGCAGCCACAAAAGTCATCTTGACTTTTCTCTACTGTAGTGGGTGATATTACAACACTTGTAATATCCTTCAATTCAGATTAGCCCAACAGATTGATGATTTGTACTCCATACTAGTGACAATGATGCAGCACTATTCAAAGACTGAGGTATCAGAAGTAGTGACAAAACAACTCAATTAAAAAGCAACATACAGCAAGGCCCTGGCAGTACACACCCAGAAGTTCTGAAGAAACGTAAAAATGAAATGGCTGAGCTGCTAGAAAAGTCTGCACTCATTAAAATCTGCTACTATAGCAAAGGATAGTACGGTACCAAAGAGTGCACCGATAGATTTAAAAGAAGTGCTTGGGTAATCTGGGGAATTAGATGACTACAGATTATTGATTTGTATTTGGTAAATTATTTGAAACAATAATTTAAAATGGTTATAAAACACCAAGAGTGACCAGCAAAAGGAAACCATGGCACACTAATTAGAATATTTTGAATGGGTCACAGTAAAAGAGTGGGTAAAGGAAGGAAAGGCAGTTGACAATATATTTGGAAGGCCTTTGACAAAACTCCTCACGTGAGGCTACTAAAGACACTAAAGTCATTGGGCAAAGTACTGTTGTGGGTAACAAAGTAGCTGCAAAAAACATAAGGTAGGAATAAATGGTCAAAATGGGCAATTTTCATGATAGCAAAAGCTTAATGGAGGTGCCACAAAATTCTGTAATAGGACCAGCATTGTTTTCTATTTATTAATATATATTTATTAATGAGCTGGAAAAGAGGTGAACCAAACAAAGTGAATAGGAAATAACGTGAGATGAAATTAAATGTTCACAAATACAAAGTAATGCACATTGTGTATAATAATAATTTGAACTATTCACATATCTTACTGGATTCCTAATTAAGTGTATCAATTCAGAGAAAGACCTGGTCATCTTTGTGACCAGTTCAATGAAGCGGCAAAGAGTCCTATGGCACCTTATAGACTAACAGACGTATTGGATCATAAGCTTTCGTGGGTGAATACCCGCTTCATCGGATGCATGTAGTGGAAATTTCCAGAGGCAGGTATAAATATGCAAGCAAGAATCAGGCTAGGGATAACGAGGTTAGTTCTATCAGGGAGGATGAGGCCCTCTTCTAGCAGTTGAGGTGTGAACACCAAGGGAGGAGAAACTGCTTTTGTAGTTGGCGAGCCATTCACAGTCTTTGTTTAATCCTGATCTGATAGTGTCAAATTTGCAAATGAACTGAAGCTCAGCAGTTTCTCGTTGAAATCTGGTCCTGAAGGGGTTTTTTTGCTGCAGGATGGCTACCTTTACTTCTGCTATTGCGTGTCCAGAGACGTTGAAGTGTTCTTCTACAGGTTTTTATATATTGCCATTCCTAATATCTGATTTGTGTCCATTTATCCTTTTACGTAGGGACTGAATGAAGATTCAATGAAGATTTTTGCTCAATGTGAAGCAGCATTTTAAAAAAGCAAAGAAAGTATTCTGTGATGGAAAATATGGAAAATACTAGATTATTAGTTAAATCAGTACACCCTCACAAGAAATACTGTGTTCAGTTCTGGTTATCCATCTCAAAATTAGTCAAGGAACCCAAGGACATAAAGAGAAGAAATTCTTGAACTGCCTATACACTAATGCTAGGTGTCGGGGTAACAAACAAGAAGAACCAGAATTGCTCATTTATGAGCATAAATTCGATTTAGTTGGTATTAATGAAAGCTGATGGGATGATTAGCACAACTGGAATGTTAAACTTAATGTTTATAACCTATTTAGGAAGGACCGAACAGGTAAAAGGGGAGGGGGAGCGGCACTATGTCAAAATAACATTACCTGTTTCCGAGTCACGGATAAGTCAGAAGAAAATGATCTTGAATGCTTATGGATCTCTGTCCTAACAGATAAACCACAAGATGGGATATCAGTTGGTGTCTTCTACAAACCACCAAATCACAATAGGGAACAGGATGACTGCCCCCTTGCATACGTATCTATAATGTGTACTGGGGAAAAACTTTGATATGACGGACTTCAGTTTGAGTGACATATGATGAAGGTCCCATTCTACAGCACTAAAATATCTTTCAGAGGAACAGCCGTGTTAGTCTGTATTCGCAAAAAGAAAAGGAGTACTTGTGGCACCTTAGAGACTAACCAATTTATTTGAGCATGAGCTTTCGTGAGCTACAGCTCACTTCATCAGATGTATACCGTGGAAACTGCAGCAGACTTTATATACACACAGAGAATATGAAACAATACCTCCTCCCACCCCACTGTCCTGCTGGTAATAGCTTATCTAAAGTGATCAACAGGTGGGCCATTTCCAGCACAAATCCAGGTTTTCTCACCCTCCACCCCCCCACACAAATTCACTCTCCTGCTGGTGCTAGCCCATCCAAAGTGACAACTCTTTACATAATCAAGTCGGGCTATTTCCTGCATACATCCAGGTTTTCTCACATCCCCCCCACCCCCATACACACACAAACTCACTCTCCTGCTGGTAATAGCTCATCTAAACTGACCACTCTCCAAGTTTAAATCCAAGTTAAACCAGAACATTGGGGGGGGGGGGGAGGAAAAAACAAGAGGAAACAGGCTACCTTGCATAATGACTTAGCCACTCCCAGTCTCTATTTAAGCCTAAATTAATAGTATCCAATTTGCAAATGAATTCAGCAGTCTCTCGCTGGAGTCTGGATTTGAAGTTTTTTTGTTTTAAGATAGCGACCTTCATGTCTGTGATTGCGTGACCAGAGAGATTGAAGTGTTCTCCGACTGGTTTATGAATGTTATAATTCTTGACATCTGATTTGTGTCCATTTATTCTTTTACGTAGAGACTGTCCAGTTTGACCAATGTACATGGCAGAAGGGCATTGCTGGCACATGATGGCATATATCACATTGGTGGATGTGCAGGTGAACGAGCCTCTGATAGTGTGGCTGATGTTATTAGGCCCTGTGATGGTGTCCCCTGAATAGATATGTGGGCACAATTGGCAACGGGCTTTGTTGCAAGGATAAGTTCCTGGGTTAGTGGTTCTGTTGTGTGGTATGTGGTTGTTGGTGAGTATTTGCTTCAGGTTGCGGGGCTGTCTGTAGGCAAGGACTGGCCTGTCTCCCAAGACTTGTGAGAGTGTTGGGTCATCCTTTAGGATAGGTTGTAGATCCTTAATAATGCGTTGGAGGGGTTTTAGTTGGGGGCTGAAGGTGACCGCTAGTGGCGTTCTGTTATTTTCTTTGTTAGGCCTGTCCTGTAGTAGGTAACTTCTGGGAACTCTTCTGGCTCTATCAATCTGTTTCTTTACTTCTGCAGGTGGGTATTGTAGTTGTAAGAAAGCTTGACAGAGATCTTGTAGGTGTTTGTCTCTGTCTGAGGGGTTGGAGCAAATGCGGTTGTATCGCAGAGCTTGGCTGTAGACGATGGATCATGTGGTGTGGTCAGGGTGAAAGCTGGAGGCATGCAGGTAGGAATAGCGGTCAGTAGGTTTCCGGTATAGGGTGGTGTTTATGTGGCCATTGTTTATTAGCACTGTAGTGTCCAGGAAGTGGATCTCTTGTGTGGACTGGACCAGGCTGAGGTTGGTGGTGGGATGGAAATTGTTGAAATCATGGTGGAATTCCTCAAGGGCTTCTTTTCCATGGGTCCAGATGATGAAGATGTCATCAATATAGCGCAAGTAGAGTAGGGGCTTTAGGGGACGAGAGCTGAGGAAGCGTTGTTCTAAATCCGCCATAAAAATGTTGGCATACTGTGGGGCCATGCGGGTACCCATAGCAGTGCCGCTGATCTGAAGGTATACTTTGTCCCCAAATGTGAAATAGTTATGGGTAAGGACAAAGTCACAAAGTTCAGCCACCAGGTTAGCCGTGACATTATCGGGGATAGTGTTCTTGACGGCTTGTAGTCCATCTTTGTGTGGAATGTTGGTGTAGAGGGCTTCTACATCCATAGTAGCCAGGATGGTGTTATCAGGAAGATCACCGATGGATTGAAGTTTCCTCAGGAAGTCAGTGGTGTCTCGAAGGTAGCTGGGAGTGCTGGCAGCGTAGGGCCTGAGGAGGGAGTCTACATAGCCAGACAATCCTGCTGTCAGGGTGCCAATGCCTGAGATGATGGGGCGCCCAGGATTTCCAGGTTTATGGATCTTGGGTAGTAGATAGAATATCCCAGGTCGGGGTTCCAGGGGTGTGTCTGTGCGGATTTGATCTTGTGCTTTTTCAGGAAGTTTCTTGAGCAAATGCTGGAGTTGCTTTTGGTAACTCTCAGTGGGATCATAGGGTAATGGCTTGTAGAAACTCGTGTTGGAGAGCTGCCGAGCAGCCTCTTGTTCATATTCCGACCTATTCAAGATGACAACAGCACCTCCTTTGTCAGCCTTTTTGATTATGATGTCAGAGTTGTTTCTGAGGCTGTGGATGGCATTGCGTTCCGCATGGCTGAGGTTATGGGGCAAGTGGTGCTGCTTTTCCACAATTTCAGCCCGTGCATGTCGGCGGAAGCACTCTATGTAGAAGTCCAGTCTGCTGTTTCGACCTTCAGGAGGAGTCCATCTAGAATCCCTCTTTCTGTAGTGTTGGCAGGGAGACCTCTGTGGATTAGTATGTTGTTCAGAAGTATTTTGGAAATATTCCTTGAGACGGAGACGTCGAAAATAGGATTCTAGGTCACCACAGAACTGTATCATGTTCGTGGGGGTGGAGGGGCAGAAGGAGAGGCCCCGAGATAGAACAGCTGCTTCTGCTGGACTGAGAGTATAGTTGGATAGGTTAACAATATTGCTAGGTGGGGTGAGGGAACCATTGCTGTGGCCCCTTGTAGCATGTAGTAGTTTAGAAAGTTTAGTGTCCTTTTTCTTTTGTAGAGAAGCAAAGTGTGCGTTGTAAATGGCTTGTCTAGTTTTAGTAAAATCCAGCCACGAGGAAGTTTGTGTGGAAGGTTGGTTCTTTATGAGAGTATCCATTTTTGAGAGCTCATTCTTAATCTTTCCCTGTTTGCTGTAGAGGATCTTGATCAGGTGATTCCGCAGTTTCTGCAGTTTCCACGGTATACATCTGATGAAGTGAGCTGTAGCTCACAAAAGCTCATGCTCAAATAAATTGGTTAGTCTCTAAGGTGCCACAAGTACTCCTTTAAAATATCTTTGGAATTGCTAAACATTATAGGTGACAATTTCCTAAGTCAAATAGTGTTGCAGCCAACCTGAGGGAATTTGTTATTAGACCTTGTCATAACAGATAAAAGAACTGATCACAGAACTAAAACTTAATAGTGGTTAGGTACAAGTGATTATGATATGACCAGATTTATAACGTGCAAGCAGAAAAAAGTTCAGATTAGTAATAGATATACTTCGTGCTTCAAAAGGGCCCATTTGACAATGCTGAAAATAATTATGAGCAAAATATGAGCTCATAATATGACCTGGAAGGAAAAATTAATAAGAAAAATGTAAATGATAATTGGGAATCATTTAAGAACACCTTACTAGAGGTCAAAAAACCCACAATCCCTCAGTTGAAGAAAGCTGTGCAGGTTTAGAGGGGAAGTGAAGGCAGTTATAAAAAATAAAATAGGTGTATAACAAATAGAAGAAAGGTTAACAGTAATAAATATAAATCAGACGTTAGGAACTGTAGAAAATTGCTAAAGGAAGCAAAAGGACACAAAGAGAAGTCCATAGCCAGTAGAGTTAACAACAATAAGAAGGAACCTTTTAAAATATATTGGGTACAAAAAGAATCCTGACAATGGTACATTACTTGATGGAAATGGTAAAGTTATCAATAATAATGGAGAAACAAAAGAAATGTACAGTAAGTATTTCTGTTCTGTTTTTTTGGGGGGGGAGGGAAGAGAGGATATAGTCTCATCATATGGTGATAACACTCTTTCCATTCCACTTGGATCTCTGGAAGATGTCAAATAGAAGATACTAAAGTTATACATTTTTAAATAATCAGGTCCAGATAACTTGCATCCAAGACTTTTAAAAGAGTGTGCTGAGGAGCTCGCTGGACCGTTATTGTCAATTTTTAATAAAGTCTTGGAGCACTGGGGAAGGTTAGAAAGAAAGCTGATGTTGTGCCAATTTTAAAGAAGGGCAAAGGAGATGACCCAGGTAATTATAAGCTTGTCAGCATGACATCAATCCTGAGCAAGATAATGGAACAGTTGATACAGGACTTGATTAACAAAGAATTAATGAAGGCCAATATAATTTATGCAAATCAACATGGGTTTATCGAAAATAGATCCTGTCAAACCTTTTTTTTTTATGAAATTACAAGTTTGGTGGATAAACATAATGGCACTGACATAATATACTTAGACTTTTAGTACTGCATGACATTTTGACTAAAAATACTTAGAACAATATAAAATTAACATGGCACACATTACATGGATTAAAAACTGGTTAACTGATAGGTCTCACAATGCAACTATAAATGGGGAATTGTCATTGAGTGGGTTTCCAGTGGGGTCCTGTAGGGTTCTTGGCCCTAACTCTAGTTAACATCTTTATCAATGACCTGCAAGAAAACGAAATCAACAGTGATGAGCTTTACAAATGAGACAGCTTTACAAACGAGACAAAAATTGGGAGAGTGGTAAATAGACAAGAGGGCAGGTCACTGATTCAGAGTGAACTGGATTGCTTGGCAAAATGGATGCAAGTACACAATACACATTTTAAGACTCTTAAACGTAAGCGTATACATCTAAGAACAAAGAATGCAGGCTATGCTCATAGGATGTGGGACTTTATCCTTGGAAGCAGTAACTCTTAAAAAGATCTGGTGCTTGTGGTGAATAATCAGCTGAACATGAGCTCCCAATGTGACTCTGGCCAAAGGAGCTAACGTGATTCTGGGATGCCGTGATAGGGTGTGCACTCCCACACATGCCCTGAAGAGTTTAATGTGGGTCTGAGAGGCCAATTATGGTATCTGGCTGCAACTGGAGGAGAGTCAGGGCTGATAAACTCTAACTGATGATGAAACCAAGCTGAGCTGGGGCAGATTGGGCTGGTACATAACCAGGAAGTGGACAGCAAGAAGAGGCTGACGGGAGAGAGTCTGCAGTCACTGGAAGCAGAGAAGAAGGAGGATAAGTGCTGGGATCCCAGCCCTGGAAGAAGGGTCAACCCCAGATGAATTGTGGGGAAAGAACCTGAGAGCGTGGAGTAGAAAGAAGCCCAGGGAA